CTACTGTATATTACCATCCAATGAGGGAAACTGACACATATACAACTAGCTGTAATGCAGAATTAAAAGCCGTGCTGGCAATTTCAACAAAACACAGTGTGAACACATATGTGAGAGGAAGTTAATTTTCTAACTCATAATGGAAAAGTGATGAAGGAGGGGTTGACAAAGATCGTGCAGAGGAGGTACATGTGATGTGCGTGTCAAGCAAAGAAGTGGTGAGAGGGCCATCACCAGTCAGGGGCACAGCCCTGGTGCAAATATTCATGGCAGGATACCCAAGGAAGGTGGGATGATCTGGGGTCATAAGGCTGGAAATTGAGGGGCCACACTGTGAATTTCCTTGGATACCTTAAGAAAAAGAAGATTTCCTGCACTGTGGAAGTAATTCTGAGATTCCAGTCAATAAAAATATATAGACACAAGCCTGAAGGGCCTGCCAGCTGCATTTTGTTTAAGTGTGACTTAGAGCTTTTGCTGAAATCCACGCTGCCTTCGCAGTCATCAGGGTGGGAGGACACTGAAGGACCAGGCTTCTCAGAAGGACTCCAAGTGCTGTGAGCTTCATTCAGAACCCTGATGCAGCTTTCCAAGCTCTCTGTCGCCCCAGAGCCCCACCACTCCACCTGGCGGGTGGATTGTTTTTAACCATGGGTTGGCATTTTCTTCAGTAAAGTTAGAGACAGGAGATCGCTGCCACCTTAATGGCTGTTAATTCAGAGACTGGTGAGGGGCAAAGGGGGATTAAGAAAAGACAAACATTTAGAGAGAAAGGTGGGATCAGGTGGGTACTGTCCTCTGATGGAGGAACAGTGACCCAGAGCTGGCTCCACATGGTTATTATATAGGTTTTATCATCAAAAGTTTATTTGTGAGAAAGTTTCTGGAAAGCAGGTAGACTTGAAGTGACCCATTATGGTTACCTTGCTCTGTTCAGAATCTTCTATTCCTAGGAGTCAGTGTCCGTGACTCAAGGTTAAAACTGACATCTCTGGATGTTTGCCCAGAGAGACCAAGGGCCGCTGTGTCATAGCAACTGGGGAATGTTAACCCTACACTCATGTACAGGGAAATCCCAGTGCAAGTGCACCACAACCTCAAGATAATCAGACACCCTGATTCACATCACCACTCCCCACAGGAGATAGCTTCCTGAACGGCCCTGCTCATGCCTCAGCATCTTCAAGCTCATGGTCAGTCTAAGTGTGAGGACAGCTGAAGTTGTCCCGGCAGGTTGAGTGAAAGGATTGGACAAGGCTAAAGGCAGAATTTCAGAAGCAACATGTCTCAAGGGAGAGGTACTGGTTCTGTGGATTGACAGAATTGGATATATTTCTTAGTAAGTAGCTGTAATTTTTACGCAAGTTGCTTGATTGGCCCTTCAGAGCTTCTATTTCCCTATCTGAAATACTAGTCTTACCAACAACTTGACGAGGTGCCATGCTGATGGAATGAAGTAATGCACCCTATATCTGACATATAGTAGGCCTCCTAAAAAAGCATTTCTTTGTCCTCTTCCCTTCCTCATAAAAAGGGAGGTTATGATCCAGAGTCCCTCAGACATCCTCTGAATCTGAAGCAGCCAGGACTAACTTGGAGAGAGGATGTGCCAAACACGCTGAATCTCTAGAAACCATGCGGGTTTTAGCTTATCACTGTGCCAACAAAACGCCACTGTATATTAAGAGAATTCCTTCTGAGTTTAAGCATTTCTAAATACCTTTCCTGAATCAAGTGTGAAAAGACTGCTCTTCTCTGTTTGTAAAGGCATCTTTCCCATCCACCCTGGATTTTCACGTTCTGTAACTGGACATGTGTACCCAGCTGGCAGCTGCGCCAGCCAGACCTGAGGTAACTAGAGTTTAGACCCCCATTTTTTTTTCCCACTCCAGAGCTTACAAATTCTATTTCAAGCACACACACGTACAGAATGCAGATGTGGGGATGAAAATCAGGCCCTTTGGGGGAGTGAGGCTGTGACATGAAACTGGAGTGAGACCACAAGTGGCTCATCTGCAGTGGCCTCACCCCAGGCCTAGTGGGGCCCAGACCTCAAGGGCGGTTTTGGCCTTTTGATATAGCATTAGCAATCACCTGGGAGAGTGGCCACACCTCCCATTTGGGGCAAGACATTGCACAACCTGTGATTTAGGCAGGCTCGAAAGATTTACTCTATACTCCGAGGAACGTGGAACCATGTGGAAATTCTAGAGAACTCCTTCCCTGAGGAAGCTGAGGGGAATGGAGCTGCTTATGCCTGCCCGACACAAGAGGATTACGCTGGTCAAAGAAATTGCCACTTCAGAATGTATTCCTAATGAGAATACCAACCAGAGGCAAAGCTGTTTGGCTGTGGACATCACCTTACAAAAGCTCTTACAGCTCACACAGACTGCATGTGACATCCTCTTTGAATAACAGATAATTTATTCATTCACTCAACAAATATTAAAAAACTTACTACCTGAAAGGTACTATCGTAGGTACAAAGGACGACAACAACAACAAAAATGTGTTTTTTTTTAAATCTCTGATCTCATGAAATTTATATTCTAGGAAGAAAAACTAACAGTAAACAACATAAATAATTAAAATGTAAATTACATATTTACCTCAGATTCTCAAAGGTGTTGCTATTGTCTTGGTTCCTGGTTGCTGTTCAGAAAGCTACCACTTTTCTGATACCAGTGCCTCCTAAGTGACTTTGTCCCCGCCTTTGGGAGATTTTACAGCCCTCTGCTTTTTCTTGTCATCTCCAATGTCTCAGTGACAAGCCTAAATGCATGTTAGAGCGTTTCATGAATGCTTTAAATCTTCCGTCTTGTACTTCAGTTTGTGAGAGAAAAAAAGAAAAAGAAAAAGAAAATTCTTGGATTATTTTTTTGGGGAAATTCTCTTTTTCCTGATATCTTACCCAACGCCCTTTTATTAAGACTATGGTGCTCTGATGTCATTCTCTATTTTTCTTATTATTGTGCTTCTCCCTTTCTCATCCCTTAGTTCTGTTTGCTCTACTTTCTAAGATTCCATCAACTTTTTCTTCTTCACCGAATTTTTATTTCTGCTGCATGGTTCTCCAAGTGTTCCCCTGTGCCTGAACTGCCTCGCCTCTGCAGAGTTTCTGTTTCCTGTTTACTTTGGTCATTACTTTCAAGGTACAGCCATTGATAAATACCTGTGAATCCTGTGAGTCTAAATGTATGGTGGAGACATGGTCATACCAGCTGCAAATTTTATACATGACACTCCACATATCCCATGACCAGACGACATCTAAATATCACACTCAAAAATCTGTTGGTCACCTTCTTCCAGCAACTCAGTGTTCTAGGGGGATCCTTCAGTTTCCTGACTGGGGATTGAGCCCCTTGGCTAGCATTCTCCCCTGGGCCTGGGCATCCTGAATCCAGTCTTTGGATAGAGCTCTTCAGTCTTCTGATGTGAGTGCACTGAGGAATTCCTTGGCTGAGTAGTTCGGAAAGGGAGAGGTGGACATCTTGCCACACACTGGGGAAGAAAAGACTTCAACCAGGCCTCATGCGTTCAACTCACTGTTCCTTCCTCTCCTTTCCTGGATTTCTGTGGCCCTGGATGTTGTAGGTCAAGTTCTTCCCTTAAAGATGTAGGTGTCAACTTTGTCTCATCTGCTATGATCATCAAAGTTAAGGGTCTTATTCAAGAGCACACAGCCATTTTTTCTCTCATCTTTGTCATTGTGGATTCATGTCTTTTTGATTCCTCATTGCCATTTTAAATGGAATTTCTGAAGTAAGTAATAAATTTGTCTCAAGAACTGCCATGTTTATCTAGACGTCGCTCTATTCTCTTATTAGTCTCTCCTGTTAAGGCTTAGTGAAGTGGTGGTCCACCCTCCGTAGGGTCTCACAAAGATTCACATTCAGTGTTAGGGTCTTAGATATCCTATTTCAGTGATGTGTTTCTGAATAACAAATGACCATAAAACATAGTGACTTGGATCGATGGCAGTTATTTATTTGTTTATGATTCTGCAATTTGAGCAGCGTTTGGAGGGAGCATCTGATTTCTGTTCCATGTGGCATCCGCTGGGATAGCTCATTCACATGACCAGTCAGTAGATCTGGCTATAGAATGAGTGCATAACTGGAGCCAGGAAGACTTTGGTTCTTTGTGTGGCCTCCCGCCTGTGTGCCTTGGTTGAACTCCTGGAAGCGGATCCCAAGGTGCAGCTCACCTAGAGGAAAACCTCCAGTGTACAAACACATATCAAGTTTTCATTCTGCATCACACCTGCTAATAATGTTCCCATAGCCAAAGCAAGTCACAGGGCCAAGCCCACAATCAACGTGGAAAGTGACTACACTCTATAGGGGAATAAAATCTGAGAAATGTGGTTCACTGGGGACCACATACCCCTTGGAATTCTATCATTCTGTGATTCAGTCTTGTGTTTTTCTTTGTGTAATGGACTTTTTCCCATTTTATTTATGTAATGTTGCTGTGTCCAACTCTTTTCCTGAAGCTAACTTAAGATGGTATAAATATACAGTAGGTATGAATTAAAACCACAGAAATATGGTTGCATTTCCACTAAAAATGTTTCTGAATGGACTACAAAGACTTAAGCTCTGTAGCTTACCCTTTGCTATAATGATTATGTTCCTGGTTAATGAAAGACATGGAAAAAATAACCCTAAGGGATTAGGTCCTAAGTATACCTTCCAAAGGAATTAAATGCTACCTTTCACCTTAGGCTAGCCGAGGTCAGTTCCTTATCTTTTTGGTTTTAAAACAGTGGTTAATTAGCCTCTTTAATACCTGCCTGGACTCCGGAGAATAAAAGCAGGATGCTTATGTGATAACCAGATAGTGCATTCCTTGGAAATTCCAAACATATATTCCTTGTCACATGCTTTTCAAGTTTGTCAAGAACATCTGTAAGTGCAGTAGGACAGACACAGCTTACCTTGTGCTTCAAGTCCTCTGAGTCAGACTAATAACCATGCTCTTTTTGCATGCAGGGGTTCTCTATCTCCAGTACGGAGATGAAACCAAGCAGCTCAGGATGCCGAATGAAATCACAAGTGCAGACACGATCCGTGCTCTCTTTGTAAGTGCCTTTCCACAGCAGCTCACCATGAAAATGCTGGAGTCGCCCAGTGTCGCCATTTACATCAAAGATGAAAGCAGAAATGTCTATTATGAATTAAATGATGTAAGGTAAGTAGTCACGTCATTGGGTTTTGTTTTTTTTTTTTTTTTGGGGGGGGTGCTTCCTCCATGTGTTGTATTTATGGTTTGTTTCTCTCTACCATATGGTATTTAGAGGGTCTTTTATCTCATCCCAGTGAAGAAAGCACAGCCATTATCATGATTGGCAGGATTATTCACCCAGGTGTGAATTCACTCTCTGGCTTTCCACAGTTCATTTGCAAGGCATAGTTTATAAAGATGGAGGCAAAAGACTTTTGCATGGATCTTTGAATATGACATCAGATCTTTCAATGTCATAAACCAGAAAAGAACATTAGAAATGATCCAGCCCACCATTTCATCTCAAAGTCAGGAAAACCAAGGCCCAGAGAGTTGGTGGAGAAACTTGGTGAGAATTGAAAGCAGTACTCAGGACTAGAAATTTCCAAACTCCCTCTCAAGTGCTCTTTCCCCTGTAGACAAAGACTGTGTCTGTTTAGGGTAGTGATCCTACTGGGTCATTATTTATACCTAACAAGTTAGAATACAAGCAATGGACTCATCTTTATTGCCTAAAAGAAATGAGACTGAAAAGCATTCTCACTTTCCATTTGTTTCTTTGAGAGTGTCCTTTACCTAAGAGTCTCACTTTTCAGGAGGGCTTTCTCCAGGACACCCAGATGGATGTACTCTAAAACTAGACTATGTAGACTCATGGTATTGTAAATGGCAAAAAAACAGAAGCATCCTATTGGCTGTAGTGGTGGTTACAGAAGGGACCCTTTTGAACAATTCTATTCAAATAACCTGAGAAACAGGACTTAAATCACTAATATGGTGGCCTTTACTTATTTTAGAACTCAAGAGATTATTTAGTGGATAATCTGGCCCTTTCATTTTATGGAACCAGAATCTCAGATAACATCAAAGTTAAGGTTCTTATTCAAGAGCACACAGCCAATTAAGCACTAAGCCCCACCCCAAACCTGGCTGAGGACATTCTCAGATCATCAAGGGCAGAACTGGGGTTTCTGGATCCTTGCCCCGTGGTGATAGCAAGCTCTCCTGTTTTGTTATCTTGGAAATAACGAGTACCACTTTTTAAAATATGCCTTTAGAGGACAGTAAATGTAAACCGATAAATATCTAACAATGATCACAAATGACATATTTAGTATTGTGCCAAGATTAATGAGTAATTTAGGGCTTTCAAAGTTTGACACATGCCCTAAGGTATAGGTGCTACCTATTACACAACCTTCCTGCTTCTTAAAAACAGTTTAAATATTCATGAGTACCAGAACATTCATGCTTGTTTTTGATATAAATTATTAGCCAAGCTATCACCAAAACTTTTTTTTTAATTTACAAAGCATAAACTTAAACCTGAAATAATCACATTATGTTTGAAGACTGTTTGCAATAATATAATCCCATGTAGTATTTTTACATGGACATGACATTTTATAACAATCGTATTTCCGCACTTAGAGGCATGGAGGGATGCTGCAATAGGAAGTAGGTATGAAACTAAGCACTCTTGATTTTGGAGCTCAGGGCTGAGGAGAGGGTTGTAGACAATTGGAGCTCACTGTCTTGCAGCCTATGGGAGGATTGCATAAGTCTGCTTCCTAGAGCCTTTCCCAAGACTCAAAATGTGGTTCATTTGGTTCCTTTTTGCATTATTTGGGAATGTTGGAAAGCAGTTAACAAAGAGAAATTAGAGGAGGACTAGGAGGAAACAAGTCATGGTCCTCCTTACAAATCCATTTGGTAAGATTAGTGAAAGTAGCACTTGAAGGGCAGTCACTTTAAACACTATCATTCCCAGTGATGCTTACATTTTTTGATCGAAAAAATGATGATCTTTTTGATCTTTAAGCTGCAGTACTGATACCCTGATTTTTTAAAATCTCATTTAAAAAGCTTAAGTGGAAAGTCACTGATTTGTAAATTTTCTATAATTTTACTTCTCCAGTTTCTTTGATTTAAATATTTAAAAAGACCTAAAAGTGTTCAAGCAGGGAAAATACTTTTGTTGGATGATGAATATAATATTTATGCTAAATGATCACATATATATCCTTCCTGAGAATCACTCTCTCTCTCTCTTTTAAATATAAAAGATGGTTCATTTCTATTTCGTTTGAATGGTAGAAGAAATTTTCACCACAAGCAATATTTTAAGACCAAAAAAAAAAAAAGTATCACATAGGCTCTAACTGAAGACAATGGCTTTAATCTAAACTCAAGGCAAACTTCATGTCACCTCCTGAGTATTTTTGAAGCAAGAGTGTATTTTTCTCACCATTTGGCTTATTTCATTATGTGTTGGGTTCTGTGTATTTTCCTTTGGGAAAATGCTGCGGAGTTCAGGTCAGAATACTGTGTTGTAAATGTCACCACCATAAATGCAATCTGGCCTTTTACTGTTGGTTCATCTCAGATGAACATGTTTCTAAATTAATCATAAACCAAGCTCATGTATTTTCAGAATACCTTTACAGTTGCAGTAAGGCTTTCTCACCAGTGAGGTTTGCAGTTTCTCCACATCGTCACACATGACTTCTGCCTCTAGCCAGAGGGTGTGTTCCTTTAGTGAATGCCCAAGGCCTTGCCTCTGCGACATTCCCCTTCTCATTAACTGAGCCCCTTTTAATAACAAGGGTTGTATGCTCCCCTCAGCAGACTTCTAACGAGCTCCTTGAAACATGGAACAAGTGTGCAAGCTTGGACTAGTCCTTGCTTCAAAGTAATGACTGTCAGGTATTTAAAGAAGAAGAACAGGACCAGTCAAAGAATCCTCTACTTCACTTAAAACCAAAACATAACCCAGTAATCCCAGTGATTGCAATCAGCCCATTAAATGCATTGCTGCACCTGGGAGAAGGTATTTGTCCTCCTGTACACATTTTTCTGAGTTTGCCCCAGCCATCACTGGAGTGGAATCACAGGGTAGACAGGGATGAAGGGACTTTGGATGGCCCTTCCAAGGCTTTACAGTGCGAAACAAGGACTTCGTAGACATTCATGTGCTCTTAAATAACTTTAAGGTAGGCACCAAGCAAGGTATGGGATATCTGTCTTTTGCTTGTGGGATGACTCATTGGCTGTAAGTGATAGGTTTAGAAGGAGAGAAGAATTTATCTGCTTCTATTCCTTTATGGCCTATGATTCAATTTGTATGTAGGAAAGTACATTTTAAAACCCACTGTGGAAGAAACAAATGCACTGTAAAGATATTAATTTAATTAATTTGGGTATTTTTTTAAGACTGCATATAACATTTTATTTTCTTTGCTGAACATGTTTGGAGACAAAAAGAAAAGAAAAAGAAAAAAGGCATTTGTGTGTGTGTGTATGTGTGTGTGTGTGTGTGTGTGCGCATTCATTAGATAAGCAGCAAACCAGGTGTTTGAGCAAAGTAAATGATTAAATATTTAAATATTAACCGAATCTCTTTGAACATATTGTAAACGTTGGAATTTTATTGTTTTTGAAAGCGTTAGTTTTCCACCCTCCGAATCTTGAAAGAAAGTTCTTGTTACCTGATATTTATGGGTGGAGAGCTACACTGAAAGAATAATACTTGCCCGAGGAACGAGACAAAGAAAGAAGAGCTGAAGTCGTTTTTCTTCTTTTCCTTATTTATATTTGCCTATTTTATGGTGAAAGAACTTTTTGTGTGGTTTCTGGTAGACACTGCCAGATTGTCTGTTCATGGCTTTTACCTGATCCCCCAGAGGAAATGGCCAGAGTCAGGCTTCTTTCATCTGCCATAGTTTTTGATGTTTTTGATTCCAGGAACATTCAAGACAGATCCCTCCTCAAAGTGTACAACAAGGATCCTTCACACGCATTCAGTCACACACCAAAAACTGTGAATGGAGACCTGAGGGTAAGCGGCACTGTTCTATTTTTAACTTTTCTTGGTGGGTCCAACCATCTCTTCTTCTTGTTCCTGCTTCTCATAGTCACACCCCACCACCTGGTTTTATGGGTTCTCCTCTGGTAACTCATTGTTTGTTCCATAGTAGAAAAATAAGATAGCCTCGTCATTTGGGGCAACCAGATTGAAATGGGAGTGTTATATACCCTAATTCACTTCACCTCTAAGCATGGAGTTTATATTTTATTTTTATCTTGGGCAAGGTGGGGTTTGAACCCAGGGTCTCCCACCTGCTAGGCAAGTTCTATATCACTGAGCTACACCCTTCCAACCCCTAAGCCTAGAGCTTAGAAAAAGCCTCATTCCAAGAATATGCTGAAAATCTTCTCCTTAATACACTAACTTAGAGGATCCCTTGAAATTTTTTCCTCCAACATAAAATTCACATACAAAGAGTGCACATGTTACATGGACAACTATTTATGTTCTCAGAGTGTGTCTTCCAAGTTCCTCACATTCTCTTTCCATTTTTCACCTTCTAATCCAGGACTGTTTGCTGTTGTACTGTATTTAATCTTAGCAGATCTTCTGTGAACCATGTTGTGGGCAAGCACAAACATCTGTGTGATTTAAGAGCTAAAAATCCTCTAGATTTAGATCATCTCAGGAGATCAAACAAATATTCACAGTACACAGGGGTGTCTTGAAGGAAAAAGAAAAAGGAAACTAAAAAAAGAAAATTTTAAGATCATATTCATGTAGTTCCACCAGAAATGGATTGAATTTCTAACAATAATGTTACATTCCTCTGAAGTAAAAATGGGAAGGGAAAATAAAAGATTTGGTTCTCAGCTGCACACCCCATAACCTGCCCCCCTACACATACACACATTTAGATGGCACTGCACCATTTCATATCATCTTTTCTATGGATTAGCTCTTAGTTGAATGTTGAAGGGTAACTAGAAAGGAAAAAAAAAATTACTAGCAAAGAAACTCAGGCATGATTCTTTCCTGGAGTTGGAGTATTGTTCCTGAGTGAGGTGTGCTATCTATCTCCTGATAATGCTTGTTGGTTTCCTATTGCCACTAGAACAAATTATGACAAATATAGTGGCTTAAAACACTGCAAATTTATGATCTTGTGGTTCTAGAGTCTTTAGACTGACATGAGTTTTGCCAGCCAATATAAGGGGTCACTAGCAAGGCTTTTCTGGAGGGTCTAGAGAGAATCTATTTTCATTTTTCCCCCCTATGTCTTCTAGCAGTCATCCACATCGATTTGTAATCCCCTTTCTCCATGTTCAAACCTAACAAAATAGCATCACTTTGACCCAGTTTCCATCGTCCTATCTCTAACCTGTTGTCTGCTTTTCAAGACATTTGTGGTAACAGTGGGCCTACACAGTAGTCCAGAAAAATCTCCCTATTTTCAAGTTAGCTGATTAACATCTTTAAACCTCTCTTTCCCAAGTACCCCAATATAACTACAAGTGCAGGGAGTTAGGGTACAGATATTATTGGGGAGCCACAGTTGTATCTCCTACAAAGGGTATGTGAGTTCAAGACCAAGAAACAAGTCAGGAGGTTCAGTTGAAATTGCTGGAAGAATTTTCTGTGTAATTCTGGACTGGAACGTGAGTAGGGACATGTGGAACCAGGGTCTACGTTTTTGGAGAAAAAGGCCGCTTATATCCTCAAATGCTTTTTTATGTCTAAAATGGTGTGTGAGTAGAACTGAAGTCTGTGTTGCTACTTTGGAAAATCTAGAATTTTGAGGTTCACTTTTAACCAGTTCTACTTCAACTATAAACCAGAGCTACATGAAGACAGATTGTGTCATGCCAATCATGAAGCATGGATAAATACTATAAGACACTGTGCCTTTTATTACTCTTTTTTGACATTCGTAGGAGTCTTTTCCCCTTTGGATATCTTTTTTTTTTTTTAATATGCTGGGCCTTTGAACTGGAGTTCCGTTATGCTTGGAGTTGTTTCTGTTACGTAGAGCCATTCCCAGACAGGCGCCCCATAATTGCCTTTGAGAATCTTGTTTATGGCTGGGAGGACACCTGTTTTAACTCTTAAGCAGATGTGGTGCCTACATAAGGACCTGCTGTGAGGACTAGAAGCATCAAATATTAACCATATGCACAAAGCCTCTTAAAATGCACAACTTTTGCTAAGGGTTTCAGCAAGTGGATCTGTTTTTGTTTGTAGATGAGATGACAACGATCACTTTCTAGGTTATCCACAGCCTACGTTAGACACCAGTTGTTTGTATAAGAAAGTCAACCATTGTCCTCAAATGAGGGGATGACAAATGTTCACCATCCAATACAACAGAAAAGCTTTTCTGTCTCAATAAGACTATTTAGAAATGAAAAAATAGAAACCAGCTAGATGCCTTTAGTTTGCAATTTGACCCCTCTTCACAGATTCTTTAAACTTAAAGACATGGAATTCCTTGGGCCTCACCTTTTGGTTCTGGAAGTTAGAATTCTTTTTCCTTTTCTGATGAATGTGTCTGCATTGCTATGAAACTACAGGAAGTTTTGTTGAGCCTTATTTGTAGCCCAGCTCCAAAACCCCATTGTTCATGGTAAAGAACAGAGCTAGGATCAGTTGTCACAGTAAACCAAGCTGCATGCTGGGTTTAGGGGAGCTACGTCCTCCGTATGTTTGCAATGTAAGTGTGGCCTGAAGGAATTCCACAGTAACCGCTTGCATGCGTCAGTCACTGCAGTCCTGTCCCTGATGTCATTAGACTTCACTTGCCAGCCTCTAGAGTCAGCCTGGGCCAGAACTCCCAGCTGCCCACTCCTTACCAATAAACATGCATATGAGAAAGACATTGGTTGGAACAAGTAGAGGGGTAACACCAGCCATGCTAGAACTTTGCAGTGGCCTCAGAGACTTTCCTGAAATGATAAATTTAATATCTTGCCTTTGAACAGAAAGAAAATGTTCAGATTGTATATCCAAAATTCCCAGGCATTTCTCCCAGAGCAGTTTTATGATAGAATGGCGTTCCTCAGGAAGTGTGTTAGACTAATGTATTAACTCTGAGGTTATGGGCCTCAGAGTGTACATGGAATTTATGCTTGGTGGGAAGCATGTGTCTAGCTTTTCATTTAGCATCTAGCTGAGCATTTTTGAGGCCAGGATATCTAATGAGACTTGTGGTTCTCAACTGGATCTGAGCCCACCCGGCTCTGATTTTTGCACACTGGTGCAAATCACCCTGATGTAATTTAATCACATAGCTTTTGTTTATTGCATCAGATGGTAGAGCTGATAATTCAGTTCCCAAGAGATCGAGCTTCCCATATGGAAGGGGATCTTTCACACAAATTATATAGGTACTCACAGGGTTTCTAATTCACAAATACATAACTTAAAATGAACCATTCCATTTTCTGGTTCTCAAAGAGTACTGGGTGACTTCCTGGTAGCTTTTTCATAGTTTGGAGGCTTCTTTACCGTCTTGTATATAATCAAGATTACTTCCCAAGATTCTTTACTCTCCCTTAATGCTCTCCCTCTTGTCTCCTTCTGTTAATTTCACTTGTCTAGGATTTTTACTTGTATACAGACAACTGCCAGATTTTCATTTAGATGATAACTCCCCAGAATTGCCCCTGCATCTTAAATTACTTCCTAATACCCAGATGAGTCACCGCTGCCCAGGCCTCTTCTATTTGAACTTTGTGTTTGATGCTGAGGAATGGTCTCCTTAGAAACCATGGGCTTCCATTACATCTCCATGTCTAAATTCCTTACCTTCATTCAAACACCCCCCAGCCTCCTTTATTCACTAGTGTTTCTTCCTCCCTTTTCCCCCTAAATGATCTCCAGTGTGTTCCCGCAGTCTTTACCAGTTTGGGGATTTTAGTTTTTATTTCTTTTGTCTGTTTTCTGAACTTTTGCACTTGTGGTTTTTATTTGACTACTGATTTAATTATTGCATCCATATGAATGACCCTTAAAACTGTATCCTAGTTCTGCCATCTCTAGAATTCAAGACCCAAATGTTCAACTTCTATGTGGTTCTTTTCATACTGGCCTGTATTCACGCATTTCAAATGTATCCTATTGAAGATAAAATTGCTGTTTTTTTTCTCCAAACGTTTATCCTCCTTGATTTTTTATTATCTTTTGAGGATAGATTGGTTACATTAGGGAGTATACATGTGTGCATGAATCTCTTGGGGGCTAGGGAATGTGAAGTCAATGATTCTTCTTTTGCCTGATTCTTGCTATTCACGTATTCAAACAGCCCCCAAAGTCTGCCCATTTCACGGTGCAAGGTCTTTTAAAAATGGCCCTTCTGCCATTGCCCACACCAATATCCTTATACTAGCTAACACATTTTTATCTAATTCTCAAGACAAATTTTTGAGACAGGCATTATAAGAAGTCCCTTTATTTATAGTTGATGAAACAGTTTCTTATGTTTAGAAATTATCCCAGGGCCACATGGCTAGAGAAAAAAGGCTGATCTTTGAATTGGGGTAACTTAGTTGTGGATACTAGGCTCCTTAGCTAGCATTCTGCTGCTGTAGTTACAATAGTCATTATTTCTCTACCAACTGCATCAGCTGCAGTTCTATTCTTACTCCCCAGTGTTTCCAGTTCCAAGATTCTGAAATGTCCTCTTCTTTCCCACATGTCTAACTGCTATGGGTTGGAGATGGTTTAAGGCTCATGAGCTGGAAGCTTGGTCCCCAACGTAACAGTCGTGAGATGTGGTAGAACTTTAAGAGATGGGGCCTGGTGGAAGGTGGATGGGGGTGGGGGGATCTATCCTCAGAGGAGATCAGTGTAGTTCTCCCAGGACTAGATTAATTCTTACAAGAGTAGTTTGTTATGAAGCAAGATCACCTCACATGCTTGGCCCCTTCCACACGTGGCCATTTTCCTTTCTGCTTCTTGGCCATGTTGATGCAGCCTGGCCTATAGATACTGGCACCAGATTGTCTGGGCTTTTAAGCCACCAGAATCATCAA